GGAATTCCAGATTGATTAAAGTCAGACTTAAACTTTTAGAGGAGAAATTAATTGGACAAAAATTAGAATTCCAAATAATCGATGTTCGAATGCAAAACCCAATGCATCTAATTATGTGTCTTAAAATTGCCTTCTTGGGAACAAGAAGATTGTGTTTCTAATCAATTTTATATAATTCTTATCGTGGCAACTAAGGCAACATTTTTTTTTCCAAAATAAAAAAATAGCAATTATTTTGTATAGTCTTTCTATGCTTCGGGTGTTATTGAAATTAAATCAGATGAATAAAATTTCTAACCATTAAAAAAAATCAATTGAAATTTTGACGACGAATACACGTATACGAAATATGTATTATATTCATGAAAAATAGTACATGTACATTAAAAAAAAACGTCTTTTGTCTTTTTTCTGGCTCGGCAAATATACATAGGATCGTCACCCTCCTCTGGAAAAGAGTTGGTTAACATGTACAAAGACACCCTTACATACACCCTCATAAAACACATGTACACACACATACTGTTTATATGCTAGATTTTTGGGTATCACAACAGCGAGATGGAACTGTTAGACTTTGTAGGAAATCCAGAATAAACACGTGTGTTGAAGATCAGACTAATAATAAAACAAAGGAACTAATCCCGACAGGAGGTATAAATACCCTGTCTCTGATTGTCCTTACAAATGCAATTTACTTTAAAGGCAATTGGAGAAATGCATTTCAATCATCGAAAACAAAATCAGAAAAAATGTACATTTCCGAGAATGAGGCGGAAATGGTTGATACGATGCATATGGAGAAAAAGAAATGGCTGTACAGTGTTTCTGAGTCCCTTGACTGCAAAATGTTAAATCTTCCTTACAAAGGAGAGGAACTGAGCATGCTCATACTAAATACTCAAACAATGCTCAAACAAAATAGACGGGCTATCCAAATTAGAATATCAAGCCTCACCTCGGAAACATATAAAGAACTTAAAAAGGAATTTTTTTTTCGAGAGGATGTACCGGTAATCGTTTCCATTCCAAAATTCAAACGTGAGAGTCGACAGCGAAAAATGACCCCCGGTCAATATTCTACGGCGAAAAATGACCCCCGGTCATTATACGACGTCAAAAAATGACCCTTTTGCCCGTAGAAAAAGTGTCACCACCCCAAAATTTGCAGAACTCACGGGAAGAAAATTGACCCCCGTAGAATAAAAACTCCCTGTGGATTAAACCTGAGTTTTAAGGAGGCAAAAAGAAGATAAATAAGCATATTGGACAAAATGCTCACCTGAGCTAATTGGCAATAAATTGATGATATGTTGATCTTATAACATTATACAATTAAAGATATATATAAAGGTCAATGCGATAATTCAGAATCTATGGGAGTAAAAGATTAATCGAGCCTAAAGGCTTAGGTAAACAGTGCTTTTCGATGGTTGAAATCATCGTACTGACAGAAAAAATCAGCAGTATTATACATTACTATATCCTCCGCTTGAAAAGCGGGAGGGTATAAATTGATCGGGATGTCCGTCTGTTACGCTTTGGGGTATCCATCTCTTATCCGCGACTCCTCTTACATATATAAAGATGTGTTTGTGAAACAGCTATGCCCATGTGTGGTAACGTAGCGACGATTAAATTGTTCTTAAATACAATTTAGATATATTGGTACCCAAAGTAGGGTCTTCACACAAGAAATACAGTTGCAAAATGGGAAAGCCCTAGCACCACTTGTTCAAAAGTAATGGCTAAGGATTAGTTTTTGAAAGGTAGGTCATATTAAAAGGTCAAAGGGTCAAAGTTGATGGTTTCTTAAGAAAGGTTTTATGTAACAAGGATTACATATGTGAAGATGAAAACCCTAGCCCTTACCGTTCAAAAGTTATGGTCAAGGGTAAAAAAGTCTTTTTCATAACTTCGAAAATCTCCAAGGTCATGGTCAAAAGGTTAAATTTTTCAGTATCCAATGAAAGGTCATGCCAAAAAAAAATACATATGTGAAGTATGAGAGTACTAGTTTCTATCCTTTAAAAGTTATGGCCAAAGTAAAAATTCGGCATTTTTGTGTAAAATGGGACAAATTCCAAGGTAAAGATCAAAAGGTCAAATTTGGTGATACCCAAAGTAGGTCTTGTCACAAGGAATACACACATAAAACATGAAATTCATGGCTCCAATAAATGAAAAGTTACGGTCAAGGTTAAAGTTTTTGCGGACAAACAGACCGCCAGATAGATAGACAGACAGACATACAGACGGACAAGATAAAATATGTATCGATTACGGGGACATAAAAAGAAATGATCTTCAGTTAACTTTTCATATTATGATAAAGTATAAAGAAGACGTTACAAAAATGAAAATGTTTGTTCTAATTTTCATATTAAATTCTCTGAAAAATATACTCAGAACTGAGTAAAAGGGTGAAGTATCAAAAGGTTATATTTACCTGTTTAGATTTTGCATTGGAATGTGTATTTTACACTAGCCCATATAATTTATCACTTGAAAATGTTCATTGCAAGCATGGTTGTTCTACCGAGAATATGTATTTGCAGAGATTTAATATCTTTAATCATATCGTGATAGTCTGCATGTATAGGATGGAACATATGAAAAATATACAGCATCGAGGCGTCCTGTCATCCATTTCTATTTTTATTCACTCGTCCGAATGAAACCTTATTAATTCGAACATATTACTTATTTGTACGCACTGATATAAATTCGTCTGCTAAACATTTCTACTTTTTCCCAACATTTTTTTTCTGAAACAACTTCTCAATGGAGTCAGTAAAGAAAAATATTATATTAATAAATTTCACCTTCAACTTGGGTTTGATCCATTTACATGTACCATCTTTGATTTTCTAGGTTTGCTCCTTTATCAGAGAAATGACGATTAATTGATTGATTTGTCAATATTTCGACGGAGAAAAATGAGGAACTTTATTACATCTACGTCCTAAGAAGAACAAATATCAAATCTATTCGAATAAATGCATGAATTACTCGAAGGAAGAACAATTATAATACACAGCATATTTTCCCTTTCACCTGTTACAAATGTTGTATTACTTTAAAGGGGGTCATTTTTCAATGGGGATCAATTTTTTATAGGACTGTTGCAACCACTATTGAAATAACGCCCACTGTTGAAATAATTATATCAATAGTGATTGAGAGTGCATTTCAATAACAAACATAGTTTGTAACCACTATTGAAAAACAACTATAGTTAACTATAGTTTACTATAGTATTTTTTTGTTAGGGCACTATTGAAATAATTATATCAATAGTGGTTGAGAGTCCATTTCAATAACAAACATATTTAGTTACAACTATTGAAATACAACCACTATTGAAATAATCATATCAGTAGTGGTTGAAAGTGTATTTCAATAACAAACATAGGTTGATAACCACTATTGAAATACAACCACTATTGAAATATATTTTTTTTCAATAGTGGTTGAGAGTGCATTTCAATAACGTAAATAGTATGTAACCACTATTGAAATACGACCACTATTAAAATAAATAGTTCAATAGTTGATCAAAGACCATTTCAATATCAAACATAGGTTACAGCCACTTTTGAAATAATGTTCACATTTGAAATCATAATTTTAAAAGTGATCTAAATATTTATGTCGATAGCTGCTATATAATAACTGATACTAAAACCACACTGCAAGACTTATTAAAATAACTATTAAAAGATACAAGGATTAATGTTTTTTTATGTTCTCCAACATTTTTTATTCATTTATTGAGTTTACTATTAAAATTACGACTACTTGTGAATGATCATTTAAAAAAAAATTGAAAATGCGTTTCAAAACACCGTACCACCACATTTTAATCACACCTACTATATTAATAAACCTAATATTAACTTCCCTGGAAACTTTGCTCTTTAATATCTTGACGAGTAGACATTGGCTTTACTATCCGTATTTGTGGTTTAGGTAATCCCATGAATATAAGCAACAATTTATTTCTATACTTTATTCTTTTTAATAAAAAGTCCTTCATTTCGATTCGACCAGATTCAGCAGGAGCTTGCTTATAACATTTTCATACATGTAAAATTATAGGTCAGTCAGTATAATACAAAGTGTCCGTGTATTAATTGAAATTTCTAAAAAAAGGGAAAACAAAACAACTTTTGTTATCATATTTTATACTCAACAATTTAGTTTATTGTGTTAAAAACAGTATTGGTATTTCATCCTTATATTTGTTTTTATATTTGGGATACTTCAGTAGAGCTTGTAATATGGTTTTGGTATTGAAATCATTGTCAGCAACTGCATGTTTTAATTATTCTAATATCCATTAAAATCATAGTTTTAAGCTCCATTGAAATCAATATTTCAATCACTTTTTAAATCTATATGTTAATCACTATTAAAATATTTATTTTTAAAGTAAACATCAGTTCAACAGTGGTTGCAACTTATGTCAATTGGTATCAAAATGCACTCTCAACCACTTTCAATAGTGAATGCATACTATATTTGTAACTGAAATACACTCTCAACCATTATTGAAAGAATTATTTCAATATTGGTCGTATTTCAATTGTGGTTGCATACTTTGTTAGTTAATAAAATGTACTCTCAACCACTATTGAATTAATTATATCAATAGTGGTAGTATTTCAATAGTGGTTGAAACCTATAAACACGAATGAAATGTACTCTAATCCACTATTGAAATAATTATTTCAATAGTGGTTGTATTTCAATAGTGGTTATTGACTTTGTTTGCTATTGAAATGCACTCTCAACCACTATTGATATGATTATTTCAATAGTGGTCGTTATTTCAATAGTGGTTGCAACATAGGACTAACATATAAAATAATGACCCCTAAGACTCTTTTTCAACAAAAAATGAATTTTTTTCTACGAGTAGGGGGTCATTTTTTGACGTTGAAAAATGACCCCTTGGTCATTTTTCGATGGGGGTCATTATTCGTCTTCACACCGGAATGGGTATCACCGACATTTTCTCTACTAAAGCCGACTTAAGCGCCATGACGGAGAATCTGCGAGAGGGCACGTTTGTTTCTGACGTCATTCGTAAAGCATTCGTTGAAGTCAATGAGGAAGACACGGAGGCTGCCGCTGCCACGGCTGTTATGATGAGGTTGATGTGCATGCCAAAGGAACCAATGGTGTTTAAGGCGGACCACCCTTCTTGTTCCACATCAGAGAAAATTCTACTGGAACTGTCTTGTTCATTGGACGCTTCACCAAACCACATTTATAACCGTACATATGCATTATATTTACATTCGCTGTTGTTTTCTACTAAGCCAACTGTAAAATTGATTTGAATATTATTTTTGTATACACGGAAAAACTCGTGCTAACGAGATATCAGAATGAGACCACAACGACGTAAGTTAAAATGCAACAATATAAGGAGGCATGAAATTCAAATATTGACTACTGTGGTTTTATCAATATACATTGAGCACCAATTTTCAAGGATTTCATTGCAGAGCAGATCCTAGAGATTCATTGTTCATTGAATGGAGAAATCTGTTATTCATTAGTATTGGCAATGCTTTTGTCCATGAAATTACGTATCCCCGAAAATGTCCTTTTTACACAGTGTAGTTAAGTTTACAATTCCATAGTAAATATCGGCGAATTTTTTTTAATAAAAGAGACATACTTTATAAGAATGAGCGATTCTTTTTAGAACTTCACTGAAGCCCATAAATGTAATGTGGTTCAAATCTACATATTGAGGACATTAAGATTTTTTTGATTTAGACTCGTCACGTGATGTCGAAGTTGCATGATTTTAGCAATTATACTTGCAGCTTAGATGTTTGTATAAATTCCAATATTGCAATGGCATAACTTGATTAAAAATCTTAGTTTAATTTTCTAATAAAATTTTAAACACTGTATGTATTTGGTGAAAAGTGCTGCGATCCTATATGGATTCCCTTATTTAATTGCTAAAATTTACTTTGTTGGACGACAGGTTCAATATTTTGCTGGTCAACTACATTACATATATCCATAATTAATTTATTTTCAAGATTTCATCAGGTTCGCAGGACTTTTCAAATATCTTAATGCTTCTTGAGTTTATTTGCCACTTGCTGTGGCCTTCAACTCGACAATTTCATATATCGACGACTTATTGTCAATTACATCTGTTTCATACTTGGATATTTTACTTGAAAAAGACATTAATGGTAATCTTACAACCAAGCTATATGATAAACGTGATGACTTTAACTTTTCTATCGCCAACTTCCCTTACTTATGCAGTAATATACCTTTATCACCTGCATACGGAGTATATATATCTCAGTTGATTCGATATGCAAGACCCAGCTCTTCGTATGCACAATTTCTAAAACGAGGTAAATTATTTATATGTGTATTACAAAAAAGTTGATGAAACAAGAATATCAGCAGTCTCGTTTAAAGTCATCAATTCGTACGTTCTGTAGTAGATCCAATGACCTTGTCAGCAAATACAATTTATCATTGAGTCAAATGCTGACTGACGTTTTTCACACAAATTGTTAGTCTATTATTTATACACTGGATTGACGACGGATTTTTCCGTTATTTCACGATCATGACAATGAGCACATGGCGTGTGTGACCGGTCAGCAGGGGATACTCACTGCTCCATGGCACATGATCCCACCTCTGATGTTTCGGAGGTCCCTGCTTGCTCTGCTCTTGTTTTGTATTGTTTTATAAACTTTGAGATTGAATACTGTTCGTTATCTCCATATCCTTCTTTGAATGTTTTTTGTTATAAAAAATAAATGTTTTGTAAACAAGTGTTATTTGCCTTTAAAATGGAAAAAGTCATTATTGTTGGATTTGTGACTAGTTACAAATATACATCAAAAATATATCAGAGAAAATTGTTTGAGAGAAAGTTGTATCATTAATAACTTTTGTATATCTCTTTAATTACACTCAGCTCGAGATAATACAACCTTATCGTAGGATATACATTGAAAATATTAAACAATGGCATTAGAAAATGAAACTTCTGCATAGAAGTAAAAAAAATGGAAAATCATTATTTTAATCAGGTATGAAAACAAACAACTCCAAACTATGAATAACGTCATTACAACAGTAGAATATCCCAAAATGTAACGTTTATAGAAGAGCTGAATAAAATCAGAAATAATTCTTTTTAAAAATTTTTATGTTCTCTAGTATACTTTTCAAGTGGACAAAGGCTAGATTTTTGCGCATATTACAAACCTTTTATAGAATATATCACATCCGATTCTCTATTAAAGTTTCAGTTTTGATGGATGAATTTGTCATTTATTATACATTTATAAATGACAAAGATAATCAAAAGATAAAACAGATAAAGGGGGGATCACTCGTCCACAATGCATTATTAAAGTTAGGTGTTAATTTTTACAAAACCTTAGTTAATCTCCCTGTGTAGCAAACATTTATAATAAATTAACCAAATGATCAACCCCGTATCCAAAATATTACATACGCGGGTACATTAAGGCAGCACATGGATCAGAATTCGGCGAATTAACACTTTTTTTATAATTATCTAACACTAATAAATCGAAAAAGTCGAGCATAAAACTTTTGTTATAATTATGCATTCTATAGACTTCAATGGGACTTATACCACATGAAACACTTCATCACGACGTCACCACGTGACGTCTATTATTATAAATTATGCCTTAATGAAAAAGTGAAAAGTTCAACACTACCCCGAGGATAACTAATTTCAATTTGTAATAATAATTATGTAAAAACATCTCTGTACCATGAAAAGTGCTGCTAGAATCCTACTGTCCTATCACAGAAGTAATTTTTCAACACTTTCTGACGAAACCTTCCTAAAATTTTTACATTTTGTTCATAACATCGAAAAAAATGCATTAATTCCCGTAAACCATACGATTCTAGCAGCACTTTCCAAAAACAATAGCATAAGAACTTTAGATAGAAACAAAAATTAAGTTTCAAAGTGTGCGGTGTAGTGTTGAACTTTCGCATCTTATTTGTTACGAACGATAGAGGAAAGGCTGATCGGCAAGTAAACACACTCCCTGCTTTAATTTTACGAAGAAAGTGTAGAAGTATATAACCATACCTTATTCATAAGCTTTATTTCCACATAAATCACAAATGATATTTATTCTAAATGCTCTTAAACTCCGATTTCTTGTGTTTGTTTGCATGAATTCTCGTTATGTTTCACTTTCACTCTGCTACTGCATGATCAACAGTTATGACGTCACGGGTTTGGTATTTAACCCCTGTGATAACTACAGAGACCCAGAAACGACAAAATTCTGTTTATATACTGCCTCTGCATATTTTGATTAAATTTTACGACCTCAAATATTCGGTAGATGTCAGTTATGCACAATTGAACTGTTATCAGAAGAAATCAGTCCCCATGCTCTAATAGATATGTTACAATGTTACATATGTTTAGCACTTTCATACGCATAAGATATGAATGACTAGCACCTAATTTGTGTCATTTTTTAAAACAAAATACCGTCCCTAAATGACCAGTTGATGATAGTATATGCTTTACATTTTTACATCAGCAAAATAATTAGCTGGTTAGTTCTTTCCAAATTTTCCAATTTATCTGAAATTTAACATAAAGGACAGACATTTATCTACATGATTATGAAGTCCATGACTGCCTTTATTCCAGTTCCATTACCGTCCTCAAAATGTAAGATTTTCAAAAACCTTGCTTAGTCCATTTTCACTGTGCAGTAGAATTCAATAAATAAATATAGAATATTTTGCCCGATTTTCCAGCACGTAGAAACATAATCTGACCTGACAGAACAGATATTGAAGAGCATAATTACAATATCAACTAATCGATACAAAGACTCTCATCAATGTAACTATGATCACCTTTAAATAAACTACTGGTTTTGACATTTGCATTAGCTAAATAATTTAACTGTCTGTTTTTTCAAATCAAATTCGAAATGTGTCTTTGAACATTGTGAACATTTAGTTTTGTCATAGTACTTACAGCACCTTCTGCCTCAAGGAGTTTCACAAGCTATTCATTGCCAAATAATGTTGCAGTATTAATTGCTGATAGTTCCTCAAATGGACACATATTGACGTCAGCGCCATTTTTTATCAATGTCTCAGCAACGTCGTTAAAACAAAACATACAAGAACAGAAACAACTTGATAATTCGATATCCTTTAAAGGAGGATCGACGGGTGCTCCTTTTTCTATTAAAAACATGACAATATCTTTGCAATCAGAGCATGAAGCGACAAATAAGGGAGGGAGGAGCATGTCTTCATTGTAATTGTTTATACACTTGGGATCCACATAATATGAAACCAGCTCGACCATTTTCAGACTTTTGCTAGAGCACGCCAAATTCAAACAAAGACATTGTGATTGCGAATCATTACCGAAAACATTTTCTACAATTTCTTTAGACATGCTGTCAGTAACACAATTGTTTGGATCAACAGGTTTACTTTTTTCCTTGATAATGTCTAATACAGCAGTAAGTAGCTTAATGTGATTAAATGCTATCATCCAGTTCAAAACTTTTTTATGATAGACTTCCAATAGAACAGGTCCAAAATCCAATGGAGATATTTTCTGCAGTTTAAATTCACTGGAATCTAAATGTTCCGCTATTGATGGCAATAGTTGCTCAATAATTTTGAAAACTTTTTCAAGCATTTCTTTAAAAATATTTTTATTTTTTTCATTTAAGTTTGCACAAGTCTGTTTGTTGAGAAAGATTTGTTTGATTTCAGGTAAAGAAAACGTCCTCAAAATTTCGGCAAACCTTGAAACAAATAAGTCATCCTGCGAAAAACTGTCTATTCCACTAAATACTTCAGACAGATTGAAATGTTTTATGTCCCAAAATATGCGGTCTATTAAAACAGAAAAGTGATCCTTTTCAACAGGAATGAGATTTTCACTGCTTCTTGAACCCTTCTCACAATGTGTCAATAGTTTATAAATAGAACTAGACGTACAACGTTTAATAAAACAGTCTTGAAAACAACTTCCAAAGTGAACTGCAATAATTTCGAACAAGCTGTCATCAATGAAAGAATATCTACCCTCTGCGTCCTGTATGAGATAAGATCCTTTCAGAAAAGCCATTTTTTCAATAAGTGTAGAATGAGATGTTGACCTATCTAATCCACAGCAGTCATATACTTCTTCAAGACATTCACTATCTAATGCTTTTGGACAAACGCAATTTCCTTTAATGACACAGTACACCAAGCCTGCATAATGTATTTTGTTTAGTATTTTCATTTTATCAAGCTCCGGTAATATGCACTGGAATGGATGAAAAAAAAACTTTTCCCCCATTTCCTGATATGTTTTGTCTAATGAAAATAATCTGCACAACAGTGGGAACATTGGCATATTGCTAGGTAGTTTTAAATTTCTAAAGTTATCTTCAACTATGTTTTGAAACTTGCAGTGCTTTACAAGCATGCTTTCCATATCTTTCTCGTTTAACTCATTTTGCTTGTCATCTAGATTTACAACATGATTGGCTTGTGTAACAAAACATGGTTTTGACTCATGCAATACAACAGACCTGCAACTCATCAGTAGTTTTGAACCTGAATCTAAGAAGCTCATAATACTTTCAGACCGTCTATTTAGATCCTGTGGTACATCTCTATTCAAATCAAATACGCCTAATACATCATCTATAACAAATAATTGTTTGACATTTAAGTTTCCATACGTAGTGATTTCTGCTAGTGATGACACCGGAACAATTTCATATTCCTCTTTTGCAAGCTCCAACGCAACATGACGAATGAGAAATGTTTTTCCTCTACCAGGACCGCCAGACACTGTCACATAAGGCAAGGATTTGATTTTATCATGGACTGATTGGTAAGCAGGAGTTGTAAAAAAGACTTCATCGACCTTTTCCCATTCCTCTAGTATTTTATCATGTTTCTCTGGAAGAAATTATGCAGTGGAATACTGAGTGCTTAAGGTAAGTCACTCGTCAGCTTTTTAGAAAAGTTCACGCAGAAGCTTTTACTTCAAAATTACTTATCAAAATTCAATTTTTATAACATATTTAAATTCAATAATGTAAATTTTTTAACATTCAATGAAAAAACTGCTCAAAAATCTACAAAGAAGCAAGATTTATGAGGGACTATTTCTTTTGGTGGAAGGATATTTAGCAGAAAATTCTGCAAATCTGCACATTTATAAAATTTAATGTAATGGAAATTTAGCCTCACATACTTTTACTCGAAGAATATTTTCCGTTTTGATATTTCTAAAAATATTTAATATAGGTCTTAATTTATATTTTTAGACTAAGTTTTACACCTTCCCTCAACAAACTTTTCCAAAAAATGAAAATATATTAGGAAGTTAAGGTCAAATTTACACCATTTTTTGCCTGAAAATCACATATTTTGACAAATATTTCAAAATTAACAACACTGACCCCACCTTTTTCTTTCATTATTTTAAACTACTCGACACTTGTGACTGATCAGCATTCAAGTCGTAAAAAGTTTGATATAAGAAAAATTTTTATTGTCTATGAAGTTTTTTAATACCCCAAATATGTTATTTTTTAGTGCAAAAAGGTCACACAATAATTTACGCGCATTAATTTGCAAGATTTGTTTAATGATAAATATTATTCAAACTATTTTACGTAAAATAAGATTATATTTATTGCCATGCTTACATCTAATCAAATATAATAAGGGTTAAGGTAGAATGCCACACCATTTTTTTTATTTTATTTTTATTTTATGGATCTCTGAGTCGTCCTTTCTAAACAATGGTTTCAGCATTGACATGCCGATATTAGCTCTTAATTATTTTATATGATTTTTTTTTTGTATTTTTTCAAATAAAATGAAAAAAATTATTTACATCCAAATTAGGTGCTTTCTTGTAAAAATTTTCATGTAAATGAACGCATCACATGAATACCTAATAAATTTTGAAAAGAAAGTCTGGTTAAAGTTTTTGATTTTTTTTATAAAAAAATTACTTATGAAAATAAAACACGTTATTTGTAAATATTTTTTAAACCTATGGTTAAAAACACCATAAAACTAGTCACAACTAAGGACAACATGTTTGTCAATCATATTTTTAAAAGAAATTGAAACGAAATTGAGAAATTTTAGAGAAATTAATTTTTTTAATATTTGGACCTAACCCGATCAAAATT